AAAAAAAAAAAAAAGAGTTCCTCTTGCCTCAGCTATCTAGGACTACAAGTGCCTGCCACAATGCCCATCTAGTTTTTCTGTTTTTAGTAGAGATGAGGTCTTGCTTTGCTCAGGCTGATCTCAAACTCCTGAGCTTTAGCAATACACCTGCCTCAGCCTCCCAGAGTGCTAGGATAGCAGGCATGAGCCACCATGCCTGGCTTAATGATTAGTGATTTTGAGCAGCTTTTCACACATTTATGTTCATTGGTCATATATGAAGTAGTTCAGGGAATGCCACTGAAAAATATGAAGTCTTGGTAGGCTGATTATTTTAAATTGAAGCACATGAGGATCAGCAGCTGCTGGCAGAGGCTTTCTTTAATTTCCCCCTCTGCCTTGAGACAGGTCCTCCAGAAAGAATTCGGTTGTCTTGGATCCTTTCTGCAGGAATCTCATCATTGGGAGAAATTAACATCCTTCAGGAGAAAGACCAGAGGTTAAAATCAGGCCCATGTGGACCCAGTCACAGGCTATCACCTGTCCTTCTTGAATGTTCATTCTTTCCCCCAAATCATTTATTCTTCCCTCAGCTGCCTACATCCTGCTCCCTTTTCCCTATGAAAAGGTTATACAAGCTTCTGGATTTCATTGGGTTACTGGGCTTTCTTTTCTAAAATGGGTTTTCTTTCCTAAGATGTCCCCAGGCATTTAATAAATTTATGTGCCTTTTCTTCTGTTAACTTTACTGTCAGTTTATTTCATAGATTCCACTCCCAACATTCAGAGGGAAGACAGAGAAAAGCTTTGCTCTCCTCTGCATGTATACCTCCTTTAGAGAAATATCAATCCTGAATTTAATTTTCAATGTAAGGCAGGGTGCGGTGGTTCATGCCTGTAATCTTAGCACTCTGGGAGGCCAAGGTGGGAGGATCACTTGAGCTCAGGAGTTCAAGACCATCCTGAGCAAGAGTGAAACCTGTCTCTACTGAAAATAGAAAAATTAGTCACACATTATGGTGGGCACCTGTAGTCTCAGCTACTTGGGAGGGAGGCTGAGACAGGAGGATCACTTGAACCCAAGAGTTTGAGGTTGCTGTGAGCTAGGCTGACACCCTGGCACTCTAGCCTGGACAACAGAGTAAAACTCTGCCTCAAAAAAAAAATTAAATTAAATTTGTACAGCAGCATAAGCCAGCGTTTTCTCTGACATCATGTAACCTGAGGAGTTTATAGATGTGAAAGTGGTTCCGTGACTTGTATATAATTGAAAATGCCTACCTAGCCTATCACTGTATCTCCAATTACAAGGAAAAATTAATTGTAAACTTATCTTCCTCATTAATAATCAGTTCATCCTACGTTTCATATGACAATAATGTTCTTTTCCACAGAAGGCGATTATCTTTATGCTTAATTTCTGTTTCCAAACCTACAGATATTTGCATTGCAATGTTGCAGCAGTTTTGCAAACAGAAGATCCTAAACTCTTTGAGGAATTCTACTAACTCTTTGTTATGCTTTAGTGCAATGTCTATGTGAGTGTGGATTTACACGGCAAAAACTCAGTAATACAGTGTACTGAGTGCTGGCAGTGCCCATCTCCCTGAGCAGCCAGAGAGACAATAAGATTTTGCTTTTAATTGCTGATTATTTATTTATTTATTTATTTTGATACAGAATATTTTGATACTGGGTAGAGTGCTCTGTCCTCACAGCTCACAGCAACCTCAAATTCCTGGGTTCCAGTGATCATCCTCTTGTCTCAGCCTCCCAAGTAGCTGGGAATACAGACGCCTGCCTTGATGCTGGGCTGGTTTGTCTATTTTTTTTTTTTTTTTTTGAGACAGTCTCAAGCTGTCACCCTGGGTAGAGTGCCAGTGGCCTCACAGCAACCTCACACTCTAGGGCTCAAGCGATTCTCTTGCCTCAGCCTCCCGAGTAGCTGGGACTATAGATGCCTGCCACAATGCCCGGCTATTTTGTTATTGTTGTTGCAGTTGTCATTGTTGTTTAGCAGGTCCAGGCCGGGTTCGAACCCGCCAGCCTCGGTGTATGTGGCCAGTTCCCTGCCCACTGAGCTAAGGGCGCCGCCTGGTTTTTCTATTTTTAATAGAAACGGGGCCTCGCTCTTGGTCAGGCTGGTCTCCAACTCCTGAGCTCAAGCAATCCACCCGCTTTGGACTCTGCTAAGATTACAGGCATGAGCCAGGGCACCTGGCCTAATTGTTGATTTTTTAAACATTGAGTTGCTAATGAACGAACTTCAACAACGTTTTCAGAACGAGCTTTATAATTAAATGCACAAATGAAAAACTTGGTTGTAATTGCAGAGATTAGTTCTTTCAGAGCTGGGAAGGAATGCCCGAGGGAGGATGGTTATAGAATTGGGAGGGGGTCGGCGTTTGGTTTGTGCAAGTGTGCAGGGGTTGAGGCGACGGAGGAGGGGAGCGGGGGGATGCTGGGGTGCAGGGTGCACATCTGCCCAAGAGAGCCGGCAGGCGTCTCCGGGTGAGCAGTGCGGACTCCCACGACGGCCGCTTACTACCCGGCACTCTTCTCCCCACTTTATTAAGAGAAGGGGACAGCTCCGCGCGTCCCCTCTTCTCCTTCCCACCGAGGACCATCGGGGACCGTCGGGGACAGGGAGCGTGTGACGGGTCCCCTTCTGGAGCCGCGGAGCCTGCGGGAAATTCTAGGCTGGGGCGGCGTTTCGGAGACAGCGAGCTCCCAATAGCCGGCAGTGTCCACAAAATGGGCCTCAGCAGGCGACAGAGGGGCACAGTGCCGCCCGGGAGGCTTGTGACAGGTTCCCGAGTGTTGGGTCACGAGTGAGGGGCCAGTCTGGCGGGTGGGGGGGAAAGCTGCTCCTCCTGCTAGCGACTCCCAGGGCGGCTCCCGGGGCGACTCCGCGGCAGAAGGCGGAGAGCGGAGCCCCAGCGCGGATCAGCCGGACTCGACCGGTCCCGATGGGTCACCCCGCTCGGGGAGAGGCGCTCCTCCCCACCTGTCCCGCCGCCGCGGAGGCTTCTTCTTTCCAAAGCCCAGAGGGCTGCTCTCGCCCCGCAGCGCTGCCCGCTCTCGGTGCCCGGTGGCTCGCTCATCGCGTCTGAATCCCGCGTCAGGTTAATACAGAACCGGGACGCAGCGCTTCCTGCGCTCCGGGCAGGTGCGGGTGCGCCGGAGCGGGAGGGAAGGACGCGCGTGGCTTGGGTGGTCCGGACCTCCAGTTTGTGGACGCGGAGCAACTGGCGGCGAGATGGGCCTAGTGCCCCAACTCGAAACCCCGCAAGGGGCTACCGCTGGGTTTGCAAGTGCGACCGAACTCGTGCCATCTCCGTTGGCTCCGCCATCCGGAGTCCACTAGTCCAGGGCTAGTGGTGGTAATCTTGGATTCTTCTCAATGCCCGGCCTGTGGCACCCAGGGCAAGTCTCCCCGCAGGACGACAGGGGCTCTTGGGTGTGGTTGTGCTGCGGCGAGGTAAGGTGCAGAAATAGCTTAATTGGAAGCTGGCTTGAATTCAGTGCCACTGGCATCTGGATTTGCAGAAATGTAACCCCACTGCACGAATTGAGTGCTTGGGTGACAGCTAGGCAGAACTACAGCTCCCTGGGTCGCAGAAAAAGTCTCTGGGAGCAGGTGTTCCTAGAACTGGGCGCTTTCCTATACTTCTGTACTTCTCCGTAGAGAAGGCTTTGCACAGTCCGGAATTTCCAGTGTGGTTTGCAAAGCCCTTGGTGGTTTTCCAAAGTATTACTGTATGCGGCATCAAAACCACCCGTGGAGAGGGTGGGGAAGCCGCAGTAACTCAGTTGTGCAGACCTGGCTGACTCATTGATGAGTGAGTCAAATGACAGCCAAGGACAACAGGGCCCCAATGGGGGAGGAGGGACAGCCCAGGCCAAGGTAACCAGATGGATAAAGAAGGGGAGTTTTGTAGTTTGCCAGAGTCTGAATGGCACCCAATTTTCTTTTTCATCAGCACCAAAAAATGTTATTATAAACATGTTATTCAGAGGAGGGAACTTGATGAGCTACAAAATGACATAATGGTTGGGTTTTTTTGGTGGTGGTGTCAACTCATCCAAAGATGACCAGAAAGCTTGTTAGCAGAGGTGCAGAGGTAAGTTTATTAGACCTGCTGCAATAAGGGAGAATACTGCCCTGGTGGAATCTTGAGTTCTGAGAAAGAAAGGTGTGGGAAGGATACACACACACATATTAATATATATTTTATAGCAGAAATCATCTTTATTCATACCCCACTCCTACTGCCCAAGAGTCCCTTTTGTTCTAAGGCTGGGGTCTAATGAAAGGATCCTGCAGAGGGGCTGCCCCACGCAGTGCCCAGAACCTGACATCTTGGCCCTCTGGAGCATTGTCTTTTTGTTCCTGGACACCCACCCCACCCTCTGAGATGGGCAGTGCTCTGGCCCCTAGGAGCAATCAGGGTGTTGCAAGTCCCAACTACATAGATGTTAATTGTATATCATGCAAACTTCAATCATCATGTTCGAATCTGCCCTCCAAAAGGAGGAATAGGTAAGAATTATTTCACCTCACAGTAGGGAAAGATATTTGTAAGGTTTTGGATTCCGGTGTCAAATAGTTTAATACTGTGAAAGCTGTTTGGGACTGGGCAAAGATTGTGACGTCATAGTTTTGGATTAGTGGACAAGGCAAGGGTCTCTAAATGAATCTTGACAAGTAAATTATTTGACAAGCAAACTGTTTTCCCAGATGAACAACTGGTCTAAAAAAATTCAGCTTAAAGTAATTCATGACAAAAACAGTGATTTATTAGTTTATACCTTAATACCCCTGGGCAAGAATTTCCTGGAAAAATTAAATCATGTTGACACTGATGGTGTCAGTTCTCAGTCCTGATTGTTAAGCTATGTGGATGCAAATGATTTCAATTATCTTTTCCCATCTCCACCCGGATCCCCACTGGGCATTCTTCAGCCTGAACTAGACCATTACCATCTGGATTTAATATCAGTTGAGATATTATTACTATTGGGGTGTTGTAATTGCTTATCAAGATTCTAGTGGTGATTATTTGAACCTCTGCAAGTGTCAGATTTCTTTCCCTAAAACTTGATTTATTTGATGAGAGGGAAACTCCTTGATATCATTTAAATCACACATTTGTGGCTCTAATGCCTTTAACCAATACACATCCTCTATTAGATTTTTTTTTTTTTTTTTTTTTGGCAGGGGCTGGGTTTGAACCCGTCAGCTCCAGCATATGGGGCCGGTGCCCTACTCCTTTGAGCCACAGGCGCCGCCCTCCTATTAGATTTCTTAACTGCGAGATTAGGAATATATAAAGATAATACGGGTGTGATAAGTATGAGGCTTTCAAATCTTGGTTTTAGTCCTTTATTAACTTCCACTTTTAATGGTTATTGTACAAGTTTAGATAGAGCTCTGGATGGGTCAATCTAACCGAGAAAAATTCAGCCTCAATAATCCTGAAGGTTTCAGTGGAATTTTTGGCCCCCCAAGATCCTGGCACCCGGCTTGGCGCCTGTGGCTCAAGCGGCTAAGGCGCCAGCCACATACACCTAAGGTGGCAGGTTCGAATCCCCAGCCCGGGCCCACCAAACAACAATGATGGCTGCAACCAAAAAATGGCCAGGCGTTGTGGCGGGTGCCTGTGGTCCCAGCTACTTGGGAGGCTGAGGCAGGAGACTCTCTTGAGCCCAGGAGTTGGAGGTTGCTGTGAGCTGTGATGCCATGGCACTCTACCCAGGGGGATAGCTTGAGGCTCTGTCTCAAAAAAAAAAAAAAGATCCTGGCATCCTGTGGAGATCTTTAGTTTGGACCTTTTCTAAATACAAGGTGGTCTGGGGATGCCATTTGCACAGCAAATCTCTTGCTAGTAAGTTGGTGAATGTTACAAGCAGAAGCAACATGATAGGAATTACCTTTTATCACTGTCCCTCTGGAAACTTGGTCTAAAATACAAGGTAGGACAGGAGGGAAGAAGCAGGGAGCTCAGTTAGGAGGGTAGTACAATAATGCAAGGGAGAGATGATAACGAGTTAGGCTGGGCTGTTAGCAGTGTGGGTGATAAGAGCAATTAGATTTTGGTATATATTTTATGGTAGAAGAGATAGGATTTGCTGAGAACTGGATGTAGGAAATGAAATAAAGGGAAGAATCAAGTATTGTTCCAGGATTTTAGCCTGAACAACTGAAGAATTAATTTATTTAATGAGAGAGGAGAAAAGCTTTTGGAAATGGGAAAATAGCTCAGTTTTAGATACATTAAGTTTGAGATGGCTATTAAATTTCCAAGTACCTATTAAATAGACCATTTGAAATGGGAGGAAGATTAGACGGGTGGTATAAAATTGGGGAGTCATCAGCACATAAATGGGCTCTTTGAGAAGCAGATTTTGAAGCAAGGTTTAGTGTTTAGGATGTTTAATGGAGAATGACATTGGACACAACATCCCTGGATGGCAGGTGGAGGAAGCAGGATTGAGCAACAACCAGGATGCAGGCCTGATGCCAGTAGATGATCCCAGTGGGGAGCCTGGGAGGGGAATGGCCTGTCAGAGTTGTCCTACATGGAGTTGAAAGAAAAAGACAGTCTGTGAAGCTGAGGCCAGTGGATCACTTGGGGTCAAGAGTTCGAGACCAGCCTGAGCAAGAGGGAGACCCTGTCTCTGCTAAAAATAGAAAAATCAACCAGATGTTGTGGCAAGTACCTATAGTTCCAGCTACTCAGGAGGCCAAGGTAAGAGGAACTCTTGGGCTTAAGAGTTTGTAGTTGCTATTGAGCTGTGATGCCATGGTACTCTTATTTAGATTGAGACCCTGTATCAAAAAAAAAAAAAAAAAGAAAAGAAAGAAAGAAGAAACAAAAGCCCTTTATCCTCTCATCTCAACAAGTTATTAAATGTTGGCCATGTTCAGTAAGACGTGGCCTTGGGTAAGATGGATATCTGAAGCCAAAATAATCCCTGTTAGAACAGCCAAATAAAAGCTAATGGAAGCTGATGAGCAAAGAAAAAAAAAAAGGTATGTGCATAATTTTTGTGACATCTGCCACCATAGTGGTCCTTATATGATAATCATAATTATGTAGCAGCCTGTTTCAAGACCCTTTTAATATCATCAAGCAGGTCCCAAGTTTGTGATCATTAATATAGAAAATGTACGTATATTGAAGTAATAATAATAATAAGTCTTTCATTGGAGGCAGGACACAAGTATAAGAGGGACTTCATCTAACAAATGCAATCAATATAACCTAATTCTTTGTAAACTCAGTGAATCCCAAACAATAAAAAAAATAAGTCTTTGGGTTTTTTTTATGTTTTTATTGTAAAAGTGAAAGAAAAGTGGCAACATAAGACTGCTGAGATATGTGACATTGTATTTGAGAAACTAATGCATCAAAAAAAGTTCATTGGAAAAACTGGCCAGATACCTCATCAATAACATTTCTTGATCTGTGGTGAGTAAAGAATGTCACTTTCTGGCTGGGTGCCCACAGCCCAGTGGTTAGGTTGCCAGCCACGTGTATCAAGGCTGGTGGGTTCGAATCCTGCCTGGGCCTGCTAAACACACAAGTAATAAAATAGCTGGGAATTGTGGCAGGTGCCTGTAGTCCCAGTTACTATGGAGGCTGAGGCAAGAGAATAGCTTGAGCCCAAGAGTTTGAGGCTGCTGTGAGCTATGACATCATAGCACTCTATAGAGGGGGACCAAGTGACACTCTGTCTCAGTTAAAAAAAAAAAAAAAAGAATGCCACTTTCTGACAGATCCAGGAACTTCAAGTTGCTTTGAGACCTCAAGAAAAGAGGAATTTTACCAAGTGCATGCATGTGTCTAATGGCACAGATGAAACCCTGACTTGACTGGAGAGGCTTTCAAGTCTAACCTGAGATTCCTTATAAAAGGTTCCAGCAAAGACAATTTTTTTCAGTTTTTTATTAAATCTTTTTAAAAATTTGTTTTTCAATGGAAAAGTAAATTTATTTCGGGTTAATATGAAGATACAAACACCCAGGTCCAAATAGTTGATTTTATTAGGTAGAATCCCTCTTGTGGTTATGTCCCACACTCAAAAGGTATGCCAAATACCCCCGCACCATGCCCAGAGAGCACCCAATCCCCTCCCCTCTCCCATTCCCTCATTACCCCTCCCCCAACATGAATGGAAATGAGTTTAGATGCAGGCTTCATGTTAGTATGTTAGTGTTGAGTACACTGGATAATTGCTTTTCTATTCTTGTGATACTTTACTAAGAAGAATGTGTTTCAACTCCATCCAGGATATTACAAAAGTGGTGAAGTCACCACTTTTTTTTTTTTTGAGACAGAGCCTCAAGCTGTCCCCCTGGGTAGAGTGCTGTGGCATCCCAGCTCACAGCAACCTCCAACTCCTGGGCTCAAGTGAGTCTCCTGCCTCAGCCTCCCAAGTAGCTGGGACCACAGGCACCCACCACAACGCCCAGCTATTTTTTTTTTTTGGTTGCAGCCATCATTGTTGTTTGGCGGCCCAGGCTGGATTCAAACCCACCACCTTAGGTGTATGTGGCTGGTGACTTAGCCACTTGAGCCACAGGCGCTGAGCCGAAGTCACCACTTTTTATGGCTAAATAGTATTCCATGGTGTGCATATGCAACAATTTGTTAATCTATTCCTGAGTTGATGGGCATTTAGGTTGTTTCCATGTCTTGGTGACTGTAAATTGAGCCGCAATAAACAGTCTAGTGCAAATGTCCTTATGATAAAACGATTTATTTTCTTCTGGGTAGATGCCTAATAGTAGGATTGTGGGGTCAAATGGGAGATCTAATTTGAGTTCTTTGACGATACTTCATAATTCTTTATAAAAGAGCTGGATTAGTTTGCAGTCCCATCAAGAGTGTAAACGTGTTCCCCTCTCTCTACATCCATGCCAGCATCTGCAGCTTTAGGACTTTGTGATGTGGGCCATTCTCACTGGGGTTAGGTGATGTCTCAGGGTGGTTTTGATTTTCATTTCTCTGATGATTAAGGACAATGACCATTTTGTCATATGTTTGTTAGCTATTCATCTGTCTTCCTCACAGAAGGTCCTTTTTATGTCTCTTGCCCAGTGGTAGATGGGATTATTGGCTCTTTTTTGTTGATTAATTTGAGTTCTCTGTAGATTCTAGTTATCAACCCTTTGTCAGATTCACAATATGCAAACCACTTTTCCCATTCTGAAGGTTGTCTATTTGCTTTGGTTGTTGTCTCCTTAGCTGTACAGAAGCTTTTCAGTTTAATTAAGTCCCATTTATTTATTTTTGTTGTTGTTGTAGTTGCCACAGAAGTCTTCTTTATAAAATTTTTCCCCAGGCTGATAATTTCAAGTGTTTCCCCACACTTTCTTTCAGGATTTTTTTTTTTTTTTTTTGCAGTTTTTGGCTAGGGCTGGGTTTGAACCCGCCACCTCTGGCATATGGGGCCAGCGCCCTACTCCTTTCAGCCACAGGCACCGCCCTCTTTCAGGATTTTTATTGTCACGCCTTAGATTTAAATCTTTTACTGGGCTCAGCACCCATAGCTCAGTG